ACCCAAGCGGGGGATTGGGATCAGGATCATTTCATTTGTGTGAAACAGATGATGATAATAAAATAATAATCACTACTTGTCAAGCTCATAGAGTAGGCTGAACCACATTCATTTCTATTTTGCTGGTTGAAAGGCACCTCTAGTACAGTACCCTGGAGAGAACCAGTCTCCAAGAAAGGATGGCAGAGATTGGGTTAAAAAAACAAAACAAAGCTTAAATAAGGAATCGTCGTCATTTGCCTAACGAAGGGAGTGCTGCACAGAAGATTTGTCAATTAGCTGCAAATTACGTAGAGATAGAAGAAATGCCACGATATCTGAGCAGGAGATGGGAAGCGTTGTATGTCTGCTGATGTATTTCTATATGCTTCAGTGTGCAACAGATTCAAATGTGCGCTCCACCTAGAAACACACTGCTCTGACATAGCATTACTTTATACCCAAAGAACGCGTTTTTGCGCTCGACAATGGAATTCATTCACATAAACGTTGCATAGGTGGCAAAAACTAAATCACTGTTAAATCAAACTGAAATCATTATGTAGGATTAAAAAAAACACATAACTGTTCGACTTCTATTATTTTGCTCCGTGTGCAATGTAAGATTACTGGTATTCCACTAAAATACCTCTATTGCCACCTTGTGTTATGAATGAGTTTACTACAGATTCCCACACACAAATTCACTCCCCTCCCTAATCAGTCATTTGTTGTATTCCACAGTTGAAACGACAGAACAAACCACGATTAACAATTTAAACATATTCACACGTTTATACACAAAGCCAAGGGCTGTGGTATTAGCGCACTGCAATCTGGGCACAGATCGGTTACGGAATTAAAACGAGGCACTTCGCCTGAATCGAAAGGTTGTGTTGAAAAGGCTTCTTTTGACATAAAAGTATAACACGGAGTGCCGTTTGCTATTGACATCACGACACGTCAGTTGATTAATGGGAGGAAAATTAGAGGGTTAGCTTGATGCTAACAAATGTTGATTTGCTAATAAATTTAGATACAATGTCTAAGAGGGTGGCCATTTCATTGAGAAAGAAGGCATTTTACAATGTGCTGCCATACTGGCACTCGATGCTTCCTCTGCCCTGAGCTCAAAACAATACTGAAAGCTCCAAATTACCCCTGGTAAGACTAATGGGGATACAAGATCTATCTTCCGAAATATGTGGCTGACTACATAAGCCATTAGTTTGAACACTTAATAATGCGATGCAATTTTTCCAAATTTGCATAAGCACATCATCTAGAAAGGGGGATTTTCTACACAAGTGTTAACTGTTTTATTACACGCACAGCTGCATTTCAAATTTTTAGCAATAAATTAGCAAATTGTTCGAGGTGGAACAAACGGCGCAAGATAACGNTTTTTTTTAATATAAAACACTCCAGCGTTCAATAACCTGTCATACTCTATTCACTTACACTGTAACTGGAATGGAATTTTGTTCAGAATATTGAAGCAGAAATTTCACGATAAAGTAACTTTGTAATTCAGAGATTTTAATGCTACGTCTTGGATCTACATATCTAATTACCTCTTAGCACAAAGATAACATCAATGAAGTAATTGCTTTTATTACATTATTGATTATGCAGTATGTCCCCATGATAAAACTTAATTACTTAAATAAGAATAGTACGGGGGAACATGTAACCACAGTTCTGGGTTATTTAGGGTATTCACCTCACCATTACCAGGTGTCATCATTTATGCGTTATATATACATCAAACTCGTTTATTTCATATTTTAATTGTCTGACAGGAAACCAAACAATAAGACACGGTCTGACCAGAACTGCAAACTACTTAGAAAGTACTTAGTAATGTAATATCACTGCTTGGTTGGGGAAGAAAAGGGGACAGGAAGGGAAAGAAGAGGAGCTAATATAGGTTTTAAAATCTATGAGTTTTACATTTAATATTTAATCAATTATTGAAATAGTTACTCAGTTATTTCGAGCTGAGGCTCATTTCCTATGAACCTGCATTAATATTATGCACAACACTAAACATAGTGAAGCAAGATTTGGTTACCAGAAGTGCAACGAGATTTAATTTGTTCAGATAGCTTTTATCAGTCAACACACAAGTAGACTGTTTCCACTAATGAACCAATTTGTCACCGCACTGGTGCTAACGATCTTCTGCAGAACAAAATCCTGAACTCCGGGAACCCGCGAAGCCATCTTGCATCCAATAAGCGAGTTGTTTTGAAAGGAAAGCAAAGCATCGAAGCTTTCATAAAGTGTTAACAGTGGAGCAGATCTCTACACCATCAAAATATTCAGCCAAGGGCATTTTGAACAACAACAACTTGCATTTATATAGCGTCCCTCACGCAGGGTAGTGTCCCAGAGCACTTTAACTGTGCTTTGTAGAACAACAACTCTTTCTGAATATATAGTTCAATGCTGGAATGAAAATCCACAATCTCAAGTGCAGTTATTTATAAAAAGATGAAAAACAACATACTCTCTCCCTCTGTAATTTTTGATACTGTCGACCACACTATCCTCCTTAATCATCTTTCTTCCATCATCTACCTCAGACCCAGGGCTTCCACTTTGTTTCCTCTAACAATTTTTCCTGCCGCCCACACGCAGTCACCTGTGGAGTACCGCATTGCTCTACCCACAGCCCCCTACTCTTCCTTATCTAGATGTTCCCACTTGGTTAACATCATCCACAGACAGGGAGTTAACTTCCATATATGTGCGGATGACATCTGAATTATTTAGGAGGATGCAAACTGGTATCAAGATAAAATGTAAGACGTTAATAATATAATAATCCGTGCATTTGATACAGCGCCTTATCACATCTTCGAGACATCTCAAAGGGCTTCACAGAATATTTTGTAAAGTGAATTGACTGTATATTTTGTGGGCGAAATGTGGCAGCCAATTGCGCACAGCAGTGTCCCACGAACAGTCTTGGATTAAGTCACCAAACTTTTTTTAAAATATTTTTTTAAAAAAGGAATTATTACCCTCGGAAAAGCAATCCACCAATTGACTAATAAGTGATCCACCAATCGGGTTCCTAACTTACTGCTAGGTAACAGAGACTTGTGGAGTAAGGAAACTTGCCCAACATTTCACTCTGCCAGGAATCAAATCCTAGTGGAGGGAGGTATTAAGGGATATGGTGAAAGCACAAGATTTAAAGGATCTGCCAAGATCTAATAAACTGAAGGAATAGGCTCAAGGGATGGAATGAATGTGCTCCTCCTGCTCAATGTTTCTGTCGTAAGGAAGTTTACATTTTTGTCATTTTATAGTTTTAAGATCAGGCAATCCCCCGATCAGCAAATAAGTTAGTCATTTTGTATTGTTGCTGGAAGTTCTCTTTTCGAACAGCAAACAGAAACCAAAGCACACACGTACGCTCTCTCTTGAATTGGAATACGAAATATGAATTGCCCCCAAACCATCAGAATTTCCACCTTGATAGAATTTTGCTTTCAGCCAAATGAAGCGGGTCAGAAAAGCAAAATGCACGCTCCTTTCATTGGTCTCGCTGCACCAACAATGCCAAGAAGACAGATAGGTTCCCTTGCCCCTCTGAAAGCAAATGCTGACAGCTATTCAAATGTGATGCAAGGGATCATTCCCTTCAATGCCAACAATTCTGTAATTGCAAGACTGAGATAGGCAGCACAATGGGATAGTTGGGGTGATGTTTATGATTTCAATCTGTACTTAAAACTGGAGAACAAGTGTACCAGTCATTATGGCTGCATACCCGATCAATGCCATATTTCAAATATCCATATATTCTCTAATTCATTCAAATGTAATCCTCCTGTCCAGTGAAGATCCCTTTACAACACTTTTGCAATTCATGCCACTCTCCTAGTCACTCTTCAACCCACTCAGAATTGTTTATCTGCTTAATAGATTCTCCCTGCATGAAAGCACTTACGTTTTTCTAACAGTCTAGACTAGCACATTATTGTACATATTGAACCACATTTATTTCATACTACAGTTTATTTTTAATCCTCCAAAGAGCTCTTCCCCAAAATGTATAACAAAGTTGTGGGGAGGCGGTTAGAATCGTTCTACATCAGTCTGCACCATATTTAATGATAACTGCTTATCAACGAAGCTGATGGCTTTCCCCCCCCGCCCCCCTCAGAATATACATACAATTTACATTCAAAAGCAGTTTATATTACAGTGAGGTCTTGGGAATCTATAAAATCCCAACCTGACATAGTGAAGCCCTATAGCAAAATACTAGTTTACTCGCTAAAGGCGAATATTGAGCTTCTAGTGCACAGTAATTATATACATTTTTAAATAATTGCTCATTAATGAAGAAGGCATTGATATTTCTGTGCAATGTGCACAAGAAAAATTACTTCCATTTCCCCATCTAACAACTATTCATTGAACCATCTGGAATATAACCTTCAGAAATCAAAGCCATTCATTTATTGAAAATAAATCAAAGACACAGACATAAAGTACAGGCCATTAAAAGCAACCCATCATGGTATAAATGGAAGAACACAATCAAAGAATACTAGTAGGTTCAGGAATTCTAAAAATTGTATATACACAAAAAACTACTGTCATAGGCTGCAACCTGTTAATCTCCAGGTAAAAACTGGACACTTTTCAGAAAGGATTAGAATAAATAATATGATGATAAATCCTCTTTGTGAACATTGTCACGTACAAACTTCCATGAATGCAGCAAACATTCACACACACATTTCCTGCATATGTTACCAGCAACATCACACCCGACAGAGTTATTTAATAGTTATAAGTCTAGTCACGGGCTCAGTATTCAAATTATTCTCTTGTTGTTCATGACTATTCCAAATGCCTTCATTACCTTTTAATTACCATTCTCCTCCATGATAACTTTCAATCCAAATAAAGAATCTATTCTCACGCAGTCTCTCCTGCAAAATCTTAACCTTTGTCTTGGATCCATACTGGTACTAAAACAATGTAAAATAACTTACTTTCGAAGATGCTCGTGCTCTTTTAAGAACAGTTCTGTTCTTCTGTTGTTAACTCCCGACCCACTTTTGTACGACCTGAATTAGAAAATGCATAAAAAAATCATATTTCATATATAAGTCTGCAGCCATGTATCACAGGTTTGGCAATACACATTTGTCACAGCTCTTAATTCTTACACTTGGCACCATTCTGGTTTGCAACTTGGTCAATTGCCTCCAATATTGATTAGGTCTGAACGTTTTCCAAGTATCTGCCGGTATTGAAATACATTTAACAAATGAAGTAATCTGCAAATAGAAAAAAAAACTGCCAGAACTGATACTTCTGCTGGATCTTCTTGTTCTGCATCATCCGATATTGTGACTCTTGATACCACAAAAAAATGATACAAGTGATTTGAATTTCTTAGTTTTAAATAAAGAATAATAATACTTGCATTTGGTAAAGCGTCTCATGTGAGGAGGACGTCTCAATCGCTTCACCGTGAAGTGTAATTGCTATGTATTTTATGGGTGAACACATACACGATCTTGGTGGATCCCCAACTAATTAGTTTAGGGTACCAAATTATTATTTTTTTAAACTAAGATTACTGTCTCTGAAAGAGCAATACTGCATAAAATACAATCACTGAAACAAAGAAAATGTGATACAAATATTTAAAAAATGTAAGAAATGTAAGTATTATTTTAGCACAAAGGATGTTACTGTAGTTGCCAAGGATGATAGCTAAATGTACTGTGAACTTTGGTCAATTTAGAAATTATAAACATCAGAAAGGGAAAAAAAACTGAAGATCAAGCAGGTTTCCTCACTATCCTTTCTACCCCCACATCCATGCCATGACCCCGTACCATCAAGACACTGGTCCTCAAGTTCAAAGCCCTCTATGGCCTCACTACCCCCTATCTCTACGATCTCCTAGCCCCCTATCATCCTGCCCACTCCTTCCGCTCAGCGGGCTCCGGCCTGCTTCGTGTCATGCTTGAAAGGCCATGTACAAAACGTTAAAAGTACTTTCAGATGCTGATTGACCTTCTTTGGATTTACACTTTAGCTTTTAAAAATAAGATCATTATGAACATAATAATCTGACTTCAACTCACTTGATTTGACCAAGGTGCATTACCACTGGCTGAGCACCATATCTCATTAGTTAAGATGCACTGAGCCCTTGCTAACATCATCATTTGGTGACACATCCAATAAATAAAACCAAAACACAAGGAAATTGCTTTGTAAGGATTAAACACTGTAGTCACTTACTCAATATCTTTCCGGACTGAGCCCAACAAGTCTTCCCGTTCCCGGATTGCAATAAAGTTTGCTTTAGTTTTATTATACTCGTGTGTGTAATCCTGTGAAAGCAAAGGATGAAAGTTATGAATGTGAAAGACGAACGCCCATATTTAAAACTAAATCCACAATCAGTCAAGAGGATTTCACGATGCTAACATTCTCGTTCCCAAGCGAAAAGGACCATCCAGAAACTGCGTTCGTTCATGGTGGACCTGTCAATTTGAAGAATTTAATGTATAATGAATGAGTCAAGTGCACAAATTTATAATAGGCTGCTATAAGTTACTTTCAACCTTTTAAATAGATCACGAATGTATCGCCACACATTAAAATGTAAAATGTCTTTTCCTGGGAGGTTATTATTCAGCAGAATTCAGTCTCTCGCTTTCCTTTTGCTGAGGTTGCTATCTTTACAGTCAACCTACAAAAGAGGGCATTTATCATTCAATTAGTCGCTTTCACAGCCACGTCAAGTCTTCACATTACATCATTTATCTTAATTTACATCAGGGATGATGGAAATCTTCCTCAAATTCTTTCTGTACTTTCAGCTCTATCACTTAGCACACTTATTTAACCAAATTGAAATGACTGGCTCCTGTCATCCCTTTGTTTTAATTTGCACAGAGCCAATAAATTCAGATGCTAGATTGCATCTGTTCTTTCTTGGCAGCTTGCCTATAAACACAACACCTGTGACATAAAATAAAGCTACAATTATTGGGCATATAAAATATTTCAAGACTTATGGTATATATTATAGTCAATGGTACTAAACGTAAAAGCACTTAGGTCTATACCAGGGAACCACAGGATATATAACTGCTGTATCAGAACATTTAAAGGGGTAACATTTTATTTTGTCATTGATAATTTCCATCAACAGTCAATCTACCACGTAAAACAATAAAAGACATATTTCTCAGTAAGAAACTGTGGACCATTATTGAATAAACCAGTACAACCCTTCATTAGTGCTAAGGTCATAAACCACTGAATGATGGAAAGCATGCCAGCACCTGCCGGAAACACCGAGCACTCAAGACTTCCCAGTATATTAAAAATGATGGAGTGATTTCAATGCTGCAATCTTATATTGTGATTCAGCCAATATAATATTTTGTAGCCTAGCACATTTTTATGAAGGTGACATTATATGAAGTAATGAATTTGTATGAATGCTCTGCCTCAATCCCTCCACTTTGCCACCTCCATGCCCGTCTTCAAATCGCAACTGAAGACCTTCCTTTTAGACCATGCCAACGGTCAGCTCCCCACTCTTCCCAGCTCGGGTGTCAAGCTCCAACACTATTGAGCACTCCGAGACACCGCCCTCCATGAAGGGCACTGTATAAATGCAAGTTATTGTAATGAGATAACTTACTGCCACAAAATCATTGCCAAGTAACAGTGTTATCCGAGTAACTGAAAAGCATGTCAATTTACTTTTACGTTTTCTTTTTTAATCATTTAAGTTATATCCCACCACGTATTAAGATATAGATTACAGTGACAAGGTGGTTATTCGAATGGTTATTCAGTCAAAGGAAGCACAACCACAGATGAGATGCTGTGGTTACAGTATAGGGTATGCCAAGCACGTAGCTTGAACTAAGTTTAACCAACCTACTGAGAATTCACGTAGGGAGCTCATTCAGCTCTATATATGCTATGGAAAATTCCAATCTTTTCATACATCTCATTTGTAAGATCGAATACATCCAAGCAGATGGCTCCTGGAGGTGGAAAGTTGTCAACTCTGTATAAAATTCTTGTCACGTTTTGAAAACTACCTCTTCAGTCCAGAGCTGACCCTGATCACCCAGAGACTCACTTTTCTACCCACTGCTGCATTTCAATTGAAAGCATAATCTTCAGAATCGGAAAAGAAAAGATGTTTGTACCCCAGTTTCAGATTTGTAGTCGAAATAGACATTAATAAAATATGGAAGGCGAGTTAACTGGACCCTTTGTGGATGTGGCTGCACTGTGAACTAAAACCTCTCCTCTCAAGAGCTAGGTTTCCTTCTGAAATACTTTTAAACTACAGACAACAAAAGTTTAAACAAATCTCGAAGGTAACTCTGTTTCACTTCATATGCAGAACACTGTGAAACACCTTCAACGCAAACTGATCTCAAAGGTGACATTAAATTCATAAGTTTCCCTAAACTTTTAACTATTGCCAGAACAATAATAGCATGTTATTAAGGTAGCTACTGTGATTATATAGTATATACCAGCAGAACCACTTTCATGCAGAACATGTTGATTTAATCTTACAAAGTCTTTCATGTGTACTGTAATAGGTGTAATTTACCACCCGAATTCTTTGGCCATTATATTTTCACTACATGAGTAAGATGTAAAACAGGTTATGTAGAGTATGGGAGCAAAACTCAAGGCATAGATTTAAATTCTAAAAAACTAACACGTCAAGCAAGACGACAGATAAAAATTGAACGTGCATGCACACACACCCATGAAAACTAACAGAAATAGCTGATGCCACATTGGATGATAATCTTTGCATCTGCATTTAGTTGAACCTGTTAAAACCGAAAAACATCTCAAAAAGCAGTGCACAGGTAAACTGCTGTCAAGTGTAGCGACTACGTATCTGTGGGCGAACGCAGTAGGCAATTTGTGCCAACTGTCCTATGAACAGACATGTAATGAATCTGGAGAAACAGGCACCTCAGTTTAACAGTTTAAACTAAGATAAGCAAACACTTTGAACAATGATTCCATTTTGAGGTTCAGAAGATTTTTATTTTTTCTTCTGAAATTGTTGGGAACTGCATTAGTATGGGTCAAAACTTTCATTCTTTCAGCTATGTCAAACATTCAGCAAAAACTTTTAGCTGAACCCATTTTGGTACTCTCCCAAAACAGGATCAGTCCACATTCTCAAATGTTAAGGCAGCTATGTCTGTTTAAGAACAAATTCTATCCTGTCACAGTAAATAAAATAAAATTGTAATGCAATAAAGATTCACTTCACCTGTAATATGTCCCTGTGCCGTTGTAATGTGTGCATGAGTGCTGCATTCAAGGATGTTACTCCAGGTGTTGAAGTGTATTCTGCCATTTTGTCATTTACTCCTGTGAGCTGAAGGAAGGAAAGAGAATAAAATGTTAGAATATGTGCACAAAAAATAAGTTTATGAACTTTACTCCCCCATGAACCATGAGAAAATGCAAATGAGTTTAGAACCTCCAAATACATGAATGAAAAACAGAAAGTTCTGTTGTTTCAGATGACAATGGATCAAACATATTTGCAATAGGATTAGCACTGGTTTAGACACAGGGGGGTTTAATGCTGCTAGATTATATATAATTGACTGCAAGAGAGAAACCACTTAGGTTCATAGAATCCTTAGGCAAGTTTCCTTACTTCACACGCCTTTGTTTACCTAGTAGTAAGTTGGAACCCACTTGTTGGTCAATTGGCGGATCGCTTTCCAAGGGTAATAATTCCTCCAAAAGAAAATAATTTGGTTACTCAATCCACGACTGTTTGTGGGACACTGTTGAGCATAATAGGGTGTCTTGTTTCACCCACAAGATAGTCACTCCACTTTACAGTATATTCTTTGAAGCACTTTGAGACAAAGTGATAAGGCACAATATCAAATACAAGGATTATTATTATATTCTAACATTTAGGTAGGAGCCATTAATTCTCATTGTGTGTATGTTCGTGTGTGGAGATCCAGAGACAAATGAAAGAACAGGTCACTGGTCACCAAAGTGTAAAAGGAAGGTTAGTCACACCATCATTACAAGCAGTCCCACTAAACGATACTGTACTAGAGATTCAAGTTCACCTTAGCTAAAAGTTGCTCTATCTCCACGGCCATCGTCTCAAACATTCTGTCCTGGCTCGACCCATTAAGAAGAGGTGTTGTGTCCGAACTGCAGGATGGAAAAGACACAAACACTAGAACACCAATACAGGAAAGAGCGGATTAAAAAAGTAGGAAAATCCCGGTCTAAAAATTTCTAGACAACGTTTAGAAAAATAAATCTAGCCAAAGTTCACAGGAGCAGACATTTCTGGTGATCAAACTTGCTTGCACTTGATTTCCTTTTAAAGTGCAGGGACTGTTACCGTGAATTAGAATTTGGCACAACAACTTTCTGCTCATTTTTATTAACATTGCTGGGCCGATGAAACAGCAACAGAAAAAGCAAACCATTAAATGCGTGTGACTGGGGAATTATGCACTGGTAACAACCGACACAAGTACCACTTTTATCTGAAGTGCACTGCTAATGACTACTAACAGTAAAACCATATTCACAAGCTTCACAATGCACACTTCAATTTTAAATTCTTGAATTTCACATAATAATGGGGTAAAAATAGGCCGAACAATTCAGCTATCAAGTGTTGGAAAATGGACAGGGTACCAGTTGTATAATGTAATGGAATGTTTGATACAACCCAATGTTAGTTTTACATAATAATGTTGATAAGTAGTTAATGAGACTATTTTCTATTATCACAATAATAGGCAGGAAAGTGTACAGTTCTGCAGTGAAATCTATAACTAAAAAGTAAAATAATCGAATTCTTAATTATTACATTTCTTCTGAATACAATAGCCTCACCCAACTCACAACCTATAAATTCTAGAACATAATAATCAAAGTAGATTTTTAGATATGAAAAACTCTCATAAAACCCTCAAAGGCAAACATCAATCGGAACTCGGGAAGCAAAGTGGCGCTGCTTGAAAGTAAAACACCATTTCCATTTTTAGTTTTCTCATTTTAACGCCTTATGGACGTTCCAAGAGATGCATTTTATCAACACTAACAACAACTTGTATTTATATTCGGCTCTTCGCATGGGGTAGAGGTAGAGTCTCAGAGCCCTTGCTAAGCTACATAAATACATATTATGGAAAAGTAACAATGCTGCTGAATTTCAGGAATACTAGCCGATCTCCCAATGAGCTACTCGACCATAATTTTTTAAAAAAGTGTGAAATGATTTTGTGACCAGTGATCACACTGCTAACGAGTGATTAACCAGAGTGACCCCAGTCAAGTCGCGAAATAAAATATGAAATTTGGTAATTTAGTAAATTAAACTGTGAAGTGCAGGTGAAATGCATCACATTTCACTTAGACACAGCTCCATCTGACAGGAGATATTGCCCATATCAGAGGGCATGACCAGAGAAGAAAAAAGATGCATATTTCTTGAAAATCTGCTCAGATCAGGGCACTAATGTTTCAGTATCTGTTTGGCATAAAGGGTGCTACATAAATGCAAGTTGTTGCTGTTGTTGCAGTTGCCAAAACGCCAACTTTACAAAGGTTGAACTCTTGTTCTCCATCTGTCAATGAATGAATTTCAACAGTAATGAGCACTGTAAGCCCACACCACTTAGAAACATAACTATAACTTGCTTACAAGCAGTTAACTATAACTCACTTGTTGAAACTGAATTTTAACCACCAGAAAGACATTTTAGCAGCTGAGTAGGTTTATTCCCATACCCTTTTTGCTTTTTTTTCCCCTAAGTACTTTTATTACTACATTGATAGATTATAGTCAATTAATTTCCTAACTTTTTTACAAATATATTAGTAAAGATTATTGTGTAGTACCTATACCTGTCGCGTCGCCCATCTCTCGTACTGTTGCCGCTGTAGCTTGTGCAGAGTTTGCTGAAGGAAACCAGTTTCAAATCCAGTTCATTCTCTAGTTGCCGAGCCTGCTTCCGCAGGTCTGTTGATGGGAGAGAGACAAAATTTCAAAGTAAACTTAAAAAGAAGTACTATTATATGTTGGACACAATTTTTTCCATACTTTGCGATAGTTACTTCAGATAAGGTTGTGCAACTTCTTAAACTTTTGGAAGTTAAATAATTTTTAACCACTTTGTATTATTTGCTAGCAATAAAACAACAAGATTCCATTTATTGAGCGCCTTTCACGTCGGGAGGACGTCCCAAGGCGCTGGACAGTTGGGTCAGGACCCGAGCAGGGGGGAAATGGTGAGGGGAGGGAAGGGAGGGAGCGAGGAGGGGGTAGAGAGTCGAGAGGGGAGCTGAAGGCACGGTCAAAGAGAAAGGTCTTGAGACCGGCCTTGAAGGAGGAAAGGGAGGAGCGGCGAAGGCACTGGGGGATGGAGTTCCAGAGCCTGGGGGCTGAGAGGCTGAAGGCCCGGCCACCGATGGTAGGGCGGTTGGGGCGGGGGATGTGGAGCAGACCGGAGCCAGAGGAACGGAGGGTACGGGCAGGTAGGTAGGGGTATAGTAGGTCAGAGAGGTAGGAGGGAGCGAGGCCGTGAATGGCCTTGTAGGTGAGGATGAGGATCTTGAATTCGATCCTCTGGGGGATGGGGAGCCAGTGGAGGCGGGCGAGGGTGGGAGTGATGTGGTCGCGGTGTCTGGTGCGGGACAGTACACGAGCTGCAGAGTTCTGAATGACCGGCAGTGTGGAGGGAGGTGCCGGGAAGGCCGGCGAGGAGAGAGTTCCCATAGTCCGGCCTTGAGGTGATAAAGGCGTGGACCAGAGTTTCAGCCGCGTGAGGGGTGAGGTAGTGCCGTAGTCTGGCGATATTCCAGAGGTGATGGAAGGCGGTGCCAGTGGTGGTGCGGATATGAGGGAGAAAGGACAGCTCAGGGTCGAACAGAACACCGAGGTTCCTGCTTGGTTTTGAGAGGTGTAGAGAACAGCCTTGGATGCTGAAAACAACAGGTGTAAGACAGATACAATTGTAATAAAATTAATTATACAGCCATTGGGTATGCAGCCAATTATAAATCCAGCACTTTTACTGGCCATACCAGTTTTATCTGAGTGAAGAGTTTCAACAGCTGAAAGCCAAGGAACAGTCAGAATATATTTCGGATTCTCCTGAAGAGAAATTGTATTCACTGTCTGCCAATCTCCCCTGTTCAGAAGCTAACTGTTCTTACTGATAAACTCAAAGAAAAAATTGACAATGGTAGATTCTTAGTTTCTACTTTGCATTTACCCAGCGTTTTTAATACATATTTTTGTTTTGTTCTCATCTTTTACTTTTCACAGTATAGTCCCTGAGCAAAAGAACAGTAAAATGTGTCTCATCTCTGCTGATGCCATTCAATTCCACGCTAGGCAAGAGCTTAAGATTTGACCAAACAACTTTTTCTCCTTCCCTAAATAGAAGGATCACCACCCTGATGACAGATTGAAAACATGGGAACAACCAGGTCAATAGAAAGACATCCTGTTAGTGAAAGTTACACTATTGCATCGCTCTACAAAAAAATGACACATTACTTGATCAACTAAATCGCTATCGTTATTCACATTTTACAGCATAAGTTACTCTTATAATGAAAAGCTTAAAAAGGCCCAAAAGTCAACATGCACTTGAAGTTGTCAGAATCAAATGTTGAACAACGAATTACATTTGGACAGAGCCTTTCACGTCGGGAGGATGTCCCAAGGCGCTAAACTGCAACACTTCAGTTCAAATAAGCAACTCAATCATGGGAGGCTGTCACTTCAGAATGTCAGCCTTGACAACAACAACAAGATTGCATTTATAGAGCGCCTTTCATGTCGGGAGGACGTCCCAAGGCGCTGGACAGTTGGGTCGGGACTCGAGCAGGGGGGGAAATGGTGAGGGAAGGGAGGGAGCGAGTAGAGAGTCGAGAGGGGAGCTGAAGGCACGGTTGAAGGGAACAGCTGCTTCTCACAACAACAGAAACAAAAACTTATTGGAACAAACATCCCATGAACTCTATTTCTATGTATTGCATTGAAACAACACAGCAAAATCAGTGGAATTCCATACAACGATACATCACAAACACAGGGCATTTGGCTTAACTAGTCTGAGCCGTTCAGCATTCAGATGATGGATGATTTTTTCCTTTACAGCGAAGACACTGCAGGTAAAAAAAAAAAACGCATCACCATATATTTTAAGGGTTGATAGTTTCGACCTAGAAAATGGTCAAGAGCTGACTGGACTTGAAGGGGTTTGAAGGTTTCACCCCAAGCCGAGCGTCAACAGAATTGAGCTTCCCGGAAAGAGCGGTTTTTCAGGCGCATGCACATGTACAACGTGAGAACAGGCGGCAGCATTCCCCACGGTCACATGGCAACCACAGCAAAACATGACTGTGAAGTCCGTCCGGATCTACTGGTGAAGCGGGGCCAGCAGACAGGTCACAAGATCACGAGAGGTTCAGCTGAAGGCAGAGGCCCTTGAAGCCCATTAGGCCTCATTCTTCCAGCTGATTCTTCCCAAGCACATTGGGGGCCTTCCATCACAGCATCGAACTGTTCCTTACGATGACTCCCAGTCTCCTGGTTCCTTTTGTGCCCTTGGATCTGACAGGAAGGGTTTCTACCATTGGGTGCAACAAACCCTGATGGGGAGCCAATGGAACTCGGGGGAGGGGATTATATCAAATGCAGGTTAATTCTTCGTCATTTTTTCTCTCTCTCTCCCTCTCCGCGTTACCCCTCTCTTCCACCCACTTCAGCCCCCCCACCCACCCACTGCCCCCCCACCCACCTACGCACACTCAGCCCCCCCCACCCACGCACTGCCACCCCACGCACGCTCTGCCCCCAACCCACCCACACTCAGCCCCCCACCCACCCACGTGTACGCTCTGCCCCCCCACCCAACCGCACCCACGCACTGCCACCCCACGCACGCTCTGCCCCCCACCCACCTCCCCCCCCACCACGCTCAGCCCCCCCACCCACCCACGCTCAGCCCTCCCACCCACGCACACACACACACCCCCCACCACCACGCTCTGCCCCCACCCACGCTCCCCCCACCCACGCTCTCCCCCCCCCCCCACCCACGCTCCCCCCACCCACACACACACTCACTCCCACCCCTCCCCACACACTCCCCCCCCTCACACACTCCCCCCCTCCCCACACACACCTCCCCCCCCCACACCCTCCCCCACACACACACTCCTCCCCACCACACACTCCCTCCCCCACACACACACCCCCCCCCCACACCCCTCCCCCCACACACTCCCTCCCCCCACACACACACTCCCTCCCCCCACACACACACTCCCCCCTCCCACACTCCCTCCCCCCACACTCCTCCCCGGGGGGGGGGCGATGTCAGCGGCGGAGTGAGCGCGTGTGTGGAGGCGGCGCTGACAGCGGGAGCGGGGCCTCGGCCTCTCGGCGGGAGACGCACCGAGAGAGGAAGTCAAAGGGTGTCCGAAACATCAACCCCCCCCCTCTCCCTGTCATGTACAGGCCCCGTACAAACACCCCCAACCCCCCCACTGTCGGGAGGGAGGGCGGGAGGGAGGAGTCGCTATCAGGAGCCCCCACACCCCCTCTCTCTCTCACCTTCCCAGTAGTTGCTGCTCCCCGCCGCCATCTTGGTTTCCCAACGGCTCTCAGACCATCAGCGGGTGGGGGGGAGGGGGCGTGTCCAATCACAGCGGTGAGAGGGGGGCGCCGGGGCTGCTGCTGCGGGAACAAAGGCTCGGGCCTCGGCTCAGAGAACTACAGAAGGGGGGCGGTTTGTTTTCAGGAAGGCGGTGGAGTTTGAACTTGAACTGGATGGCCTTTAATCTTCTTTCTTCTTCCCTCTCATTCAGTGGATTGCTCGCCCCCTCCTTTGCGTTCTCCCCTTCATGGTACGGTCCGGGTCTTAAAGGGACCGCGCCGCGAGGGCCGTGTGCGCACGCGCGCCAGGTTTTAAAGGGACGTGGTGGCGGCGGTGGCTTTGGGTGACGTGTCAGCGCCATCCGGACAGACAGACAGACAGACACACAGACAGACAGAACCTTATATAAATAATCATCATCATCCTCCTCCTCCTCCTCACCGCCGCCGCCACCACGTTGGACATTTCCGTCATCGGAAAACGTCTCGAAGCCGCTTCACGGCAATTACCGTGAAATGACGGCGTTTCGAAGTATTTTGTTCGGGCAAATTTGCCGAAAGGTTAACGAATAATCATCATCATCATCATCATCATCTTTTTGCATTTTGATAGAGCGCTTTTCACGTCGGGAGGACGTCCCGAAGCGCTTCACAGAACACACTGTAGAGTGAACTGACTGTATATTTGTGGGCGAACGCGGCAGCCAATTGCGCACAGCAATGTCCCACAAACAGTCGTGGATTGAAAATGACCAATTTATTATTGTTTTGGTTTTGGAGGGATTATTATTAGGCTCTGTGTGGAGTAAGGAAACTTGCCCAAGGTTTCGCCCTCTGCCTGGAATTGAACTCAGGTCTCTCACTTGCAAAGCGAGTGCTCTAACCACTGAGCTACAGGACTCCATAATGACGCCTCACTTGGAAACCAGTCACTGGGGGGGGGGGGGACACTCTTCCCGCTCCGCTCCTGTTAACCCTGAATGCCGAAGCCCGAATGGTTAGGGTGGCCCTAGCTTGACAAGCGGCAGGAGAGCTTTGACAGGCTCCAGCTGTAACCCTAATGCACGTTCTTGACGTCCCTAAGCCTTGGTTCTGGACCCCAACGCTCTCCGGAATTAGACAACCAGGAAGAGAGTGCGCATTCCATCCCAATAAATATCGCTGGAATTTCCAGGTATAGGTGGGATGCATGGAACTCTGGTTTGGATACCCTTAGGTATGGTGATGTGTTTTCTGCACGTGTCAAGACACCCAGCTGACCAGAAGTGTACCATTGGTAAAGAGTCGACTCCTATTGCAGGAAGCCATAGAAAGTTTAGATTCCACGTTTACGAGATCTCGGGTTTAAATTCCAGTCTTAGCCAGTTGGCATTTGGGTGATACAGTCGAGCAAGAACAAACTCCATCCCTTTCATGCTCCCGCTAAAGCCATAAAACATGCTTGATGTCAAGCTGGCAGCTTCAACAGTAGGTGCTCAAAGATGAAAAGACAAAAGGCTGTTGTTGTGCGTGTATGAGAATGTAAGGCAGGGAAGATGCCAGAAGATAGTTCTTCACCCAGAAAGCTGTAGATGCTCAGTCCTTGAACATCTTCAAGGCTGAGACTGATAGATTTTTTTAAAAATAGAGGGATTAGGGGATATGTGGATAGGGCAGATAATTAGAGTTAGGTCTGAAGATCAGCCATGATCTTATTGAATGGTGGGGCAGGCTCGAGGGGCCGAATGGCCTACTCCTGCTCCGAATTCGCATGTTCTTATGTTCTTATAGCAAAAGAGGAAAATTGAGGAAGGAGTACAGAAAAATCTGTCCTATCCAATGGTCATCGTAAATAATGTCATACGTTTTGCTTTCAAGTATGGGAACACATTTAAAAACACCTGCCTCAAGGCCAATTATAAAGAATAATATCTCTTTAGGATTGTTAAATAGGCATTTGCAGACTTGATTCATTTTCAATCAGGTGATAAAAGGCCTCAGTAATCGATTAGAAATTAAAACAGGCAGCTTTAGACAGATTTAATTCAATCTGTATACATTAATGTAAAGATATTTGGTTTCTTTAAAATAGCACCTTGTGGTTCAAATTGTTAATTACATATGCAAGTTAAGTCATTTACCTGAAATGTGCAGAAAAATAAAATTCAATATCACATCCGATCAAACAAAATGATTCAGTTACAGGATCCTGTTTGCTGATGCAATTTGTTGTGACAAACGGGCCCTGAAAATGGAATGAATTACTTGTGAAACCTCTCTGGGTATATTGATAGCATTTCAAGGCGATAACGTATTTTGCAATCGAATGCTAATAAACTCCTGACTCTGCTTTTGTGATTTATAACAGTTTGACCTCAAGCTGGTTGTTGCCTTGAAACTCACTCCAGCCTGCATTATATTCAACATTGTATATATTCACAATAATGTCAGTTTGCTTTCACTATTCTTGGTAAGTCTGGAGCAAGTCTTTGACATGCTTCACTGTCTGTTGGTATACTACTGCACTAATCCAATGTAAACCAAGACCATAATTGAACAATATTAATCTTTACATTTGATTAAGCACCTTTCATATCAGGAGGATTTCTCAAAGCGCTTCAAGGGATTTTAGTGACTGTGCTTTGTGGGTGAATGCGGCAGTAATTTGCTCACAGCAAAGTCCTACTGACGGGGATGAAGGGAATGACCAATTTTATCTGGTGGACTGTTGGCCAGGCCACTGGGAGAAACTCCCTTCCCTTTTGGAATAGTGCTATGAGATCTTTAACGTCCATCAGAACACGCAGATGGGACCTTGGTTTAAAACCCCATCCAAAGTAAACCACCTCTAACAATGCAACACTCTCCCCAGCATTGTATTGGAGCACCAGCCTAAACTCTTGTTTTCAAAGTCACTCCACACTGCCTGAACCCACTACCTTTTGACTCGGAGGCGAGAGTGCTATCAACTGAGCAAGGCTGACACTTTGTTATGATGTGAAACACAGTTTATAGCTAAGAGTGAAATATCGAGCAATCCCAGAGACAGAAACGCAACAGCTGAGTCCAGTAGATTATACAAGTCGGCAAAATTGCACTCCATCTTCCTTCTCTGCTCTGACAGTACCCATCATGCGAATGTATCATAAATCACTTGCTTCCGCTGCCAATTTTTATCTCAGTCGTGATTTTTTTCTTCATGGATTAGTTAATTGTGTCATGTCAAGATTAAAACTGCACCACTGGACCAGCTGTACATCTAATTAGCAGGTCCTTTGCAATATTGCAGAGATCTCGTCATGTTAGTTTTGTTTTGTAGTCTCGTAACTAACTGACTGTACGATCTGTGTACTGCACTCTCTGATATGACAAGCATTTTGCACAGTTCTGACTAGTAAATGGAATCAACTGTAAATTTGTACTGTGCCATATATTAGATGTCCAAAGTGCTAAACAAAGATAAATATTTAGATGCCAGTGACTTTATACATAAATGTACTTTCACTGCAGAACTAAATGAATGGGAAAAATGAAACGTCAGATGTTCAATTACCAGCAGCAAGAACATTTTTATCCTCTTTAGTCTGTCTTCACTGTGACTGCTCTTTAAATAAAATGGTTGTTTTTACACTTATTTGTAAGTGCAAAATGTCGCTCACGGACATCAATTACCACATCCTGCACGACTACAACTGGCAAACTTCAACCAACCAATGGATTGGAAGAGCGTAAACTTCATTTCAAGTTCGCCTCGTTAATCTTTCATAGTGGCAGATCAAGGAGTGCTGCCACTGGATGAATTACTGCAGCCCTGGAAAATATGAGGAGAGAAGTCATCCTGAGCGCTCCAAGGGCTTATTTCTAAATGTAGCAGAGTGTTGGCAACTTTATTCAGAGAAACATCAGCAAAACAGCTCCATCGCCGATAACCATCTTGACTACGAATCAATTCACACATGCTTTTAAAATTAAGACTGGAAACTGCAAAAGGTTATTGCCTGTCCAATAATATTTCAACAGATTTGCAACCTTCCTGTAGTAAATAAGCAGGTATATCGCCATCTGTATCGAGTCATATTATAAACCTGTACAAAACTTTTTAGATATTTGAAGGCTTTTTTGAAGGCCTCCGGCCATGATGGCATCACAGCAAACAGCCACAAGTTTCCTGAATCATTCAGAACACTTCTTTGGTGATATTTCACTTTTGGAGATTCTTCTCTTCCTCAATAAATCACCAGGATAAATAGTGCCTCTTAAATAAGACTGAAACATTTTGATTTGATGAAATGGAAACTGAGTTGCACACAAGGTCTTGTGTTCTTAGTTGACCCATCTACAACAACAACAACTCGCATTTATATAGTGTCCTTCATGTAGGATAACGTCTCTGAGCGCTTCAGTAAGACAGAGTTGGACACTAGAGTGAAAGGGAGTGCAAATGGGGGAAGGTTTGGTCAAATTAGGTTTTTAGGTTGGATTTAAAGACTGATAGAAAGGGAGCGAGACGGAGTGAGTTCCAGAGGTTAGGGGCTTAGTAGTGAAGGCTTGGCTACCGACAGTGACGTGAAGGGAATCCTGTTCATTCCAGAATAAGCAATGGAGGACAAAAGTTAAACTTCAAATACAAAACAGCACAACAGCATCTATGTGCTTGATGAAATATTTATTTTCAGACGCCAAACCTTTTCACTGATATCCAGTTAAAGTCACAGTATTTAGAATTAAATACACAAATCTTGACAAAACAATCCTGTGCGAAAGAAAGTACAAATGAACGAGTGAAGATTATAATATTTAAAATAATTCTCCAACACCACAATGGGGCTAAAATTCCAGCAGAAAGTATTTAATGAGTAAACTAATATACAAAAAAAATCAGGTGTTTTTGGCAATGCTGTATTTCTGGTGATCATCATACTGTATTTAGGCAATCCAGGTATACATTCAGTGGCACGCAACAAAACATTCACGCAAACATACTCTCGCACACACGCAGAGTCCATTATTATATGAACTGTCACCCACATCGCCTCGGTATTTTGAAAAGAACGACATGCCAAATGGCAGGACTATAAAAATTTTGAAAAATGTGCTTCAAACGTAAGATGTTGAAGTCTCTTTTCAGTAGCCACCTCTTCTGTCGTTATTCACCTGAAAGCAACCTCTTATCTACACTGTGTAACAGTACTTCATTTTTACAGTAAAAAGTTAAAATGTAGATTTTAAGCTGGTCTACAAATCGGTATTTCTGCAGTTTTGTTATGAAGTTGCAAATAAGGATGACAGTTGTGGAAAAACGTCCTATATATATATATATATATATATATAAGAAAACAAAGCTAATTTTTAAAAAATAATTATCAGTGACCAGGAAAGAGCAGATGATACCATTTCCAGGAAGGTCTAATTAGCCCATTCTCGTCATCCTTTCTCCCCCATTCCCCCTCCCCCCAAAAAGCCATTATTCAAAAAAAAAACAGTACACAGTACCAGTGTTCATTGTGACAAAAATGAAAGCAAACGCATCGTTTAAGAACAAATGGTCTGGATTCACTTCTTCACAATCACCTCCTGCATTGTTTTGAATGATGCAACACTTAGCAGCGCTCGGGTAGATTTGCACTGCAATTTTAAATTGCTGGTGTTTCTGGAATTAGAATCAACTTCAGAGCATTGAAGCAGAAAAAATGCTCATTTAAACACTAGAATCCTGAAGTTTTCTAATGAGGAGTGGGAAAGGGGATGGGGGGGGGAGAGAATAACAGACACACTAACACACACACACCCCTTACCTCTGTAATACTCTTACACCAAACAAAGCTGCAGCATATCTTTGATTGAAGTGCATTACACTTTAAAATGCCACAGCTTTAAAAGTGCAATTTCACTTCCACTCCATTTCTTTTCAAAACTACATTTGCAGAGAATACAGCTCACCCTCCAAAAGGAGAATTACGAAATGGCTGGAGGTTAGAAAAAGGAAATTGTGCATCTTTTGCTTTCCTATATATTAAAAACAAAGTTACCCTGCAGCTTTTAATAATGGTACAGTTTTTCAGTACTTGATAGACAGAGGCTCAGGTGGTAGTTACTCTAACATTCTTTGCATGGCTGACCGTTAAGCTACAGTGCAAATCGACTGTCGGGTTAGGATATGTGCAATATTTAAGTGACGGTGAGAGCTGTCACTCAATCTCGCAACATTCTACTCTTCCAAAAAGGGCAATCGTGAATGTCACTGAAACAACACCCGGAGATTTCCACTCGAGTCGTTACAGTAGTTCAAGCATTTCCTCTCCATGGGAGGTTTTGCTCAATTCAAGGCCAGGAGCAGAAGGTGTTCTTGGCAAAAGGTAATGATCATTATTGCCAAGCCAATGGAACGGACTTGATGTGCTAATGTTTATTAACATATAAAGTGTCTTCGTCACTGTCCGTTTCATCCTGGAACTCGCTACTGAGAAGGGATTTCTTTGAGCCCATGGACATCATTCGGATCTCATCTTCGTACTCGTCCCGATGCTGCCTCAAGCGGTGGAAGCCATCCTTCTGGTGGTTTGACTTAATAGAGCAGACGCACCATACAATGCAGGCGGTCACAAAAATCGCTGACATTGATGCACCTGATTAAAGAGATAAAAGCCCATAATGTCGTTGCAGGCCAAAGAAAGTCTAATAATAATAATAATCCTTGCATGTCTTCAAGACATCTCAAAGCGCTTCACAGAATACTGTATATTTTATTTATGTATATTTTGTGGGAAAAATGCAGCAGGCAATTACAAGTGTCCCACAAACAGTCGTGGATTGAGTGACCAAATATTTATTTTTTAAAATATTTTTAAGGGATTATTACCCCCAGAAAAGTCAATTGATTAACAGCCAGGTTTCTACTTACTGCTAGGTAAACAGAGGCTTGTAGAGTAAGGAAACTTGCCCAAAGTTTCGCCCTACCCAGGAATCGAACCCAGGTTCTCTCACTTGCAAGGCGAGTGCTCCAACCACGAGGCTACAGGACTATTAGTAACCCTTTGCTATAAATGACTAACCAGGTGATAGATTCTTACCTGCTGCTGTCACAACTAGTTCTCTGGGTAGACCAAACAATTTGTTGTCCACTTCAACAACTATTACCAAAGAGCTAGCTGATTCGTATGATGACACAAATACCTACAGTACAAGAAGATAACAATTGGTTATATTTTCAAGCATGATGAAGTAAATCATTGTGAATTGCCATTACATGGAGAATTACGTAGATCAAAAGACAAATTTTCAAAAAATAAACATGAAGATCGCTATGTGGTATTGGGGAAAATATGAATCTAAAACAGGACACAAACAACTTGGGGGAAGAATTCGCAGTAGCACACTTTTGTAATTTGTGGGTCTCAACCGTGAGTGTGAAAAGGCTGCTCAACCACGAGGGAAAGCATCATAGATGAGCTGAAATCCCAGTCAACATTTTGTGTAACAACCATGATGAAGTACAATATTATTAGGTAAATGCCATTAGAGGCCAACTCTGTCAATATCACTTCCCATATTATCGATAGGAATTTCATCCTTTGCTGTCCACAAATGAGCACCTTCCAGCAGGGGTAATCAAGTGTAGGAATCCTAGCAGATTCTCCCTTCCTTAATGAGTCGATGAGGCTAACCGTAACATTCCTAATGTTGTCCCAAACAAGATCAGCTAACTCAACACTGACAGGGATTGAAACTTAACAATCAAGATTTCTAAAATAATCTCTATAAGAATAACCCATTAAATTGACTGGAAAGCATAAACCAGCAAACCAAATGAGACAAGCGGTTCAGCAGGTTACGGTCCCTTTCACGCTGCAACCTGGGCTTGAATCTCACCAAGGCTGAAGGTTTGAAAGTTTCCGCTCCGCCTGATTAGACAGGTGGAATTAACTGGGCCATCTCACTTGTCCTTAGTTGGGGCTGGCTCATAGCATGATAATGACCATTGATTTCATATTGGTTGCCAAATTAATACTGGTCTTCAGAATTTTCAAGGGAGCTTTATTCTGCATATAGCCTATTCTATACCTGATCTGGAAGTGCTCTTGTTGCTGAGACTGGGTGTAAAATGTGGGAAAGTGCTCCTGTCTCCAGCACGAATGTCCCTCACCTTGAGGACAAAACTCCAGCCTAAAATGCAATAAATAATTAGGACACTGCGCTGGGGCTGGTGATAGGAACTCATGTCATCTGCTGTCATAACCTTTTATTGGCATTGTAAAGCTAAGGTTTTAAAACGGTAAAATACAAAATTGTCTTCTCTTATTAAATATCAATACTTATTTTGAACTCTCAAATTAATTTTTTTTTTCTTTTTAATCAGCCTAATTGGCAGCATACTCCCCTTGGTTATATTAGTAGAACTGAAATAACCAGTAGTTATCACAAGGCAGCTGACGTGACGCACATCTTACTTCTTACCTGTTTGCGTTGGTGCTTGTATCCTTCTGCTAGTGCATCAATGTCGTGAGGTCCCGGAGCGAGCAGAACATGGAAGTAGCCACCCTCTGAAGTCAGTACTTTAATACCATCATTCAGAATAATCAATGCATTCGGAATGGGTTTGCCAGTTGTGTCAGTAACCTTTCCACGCACCCCTTTATGAACCTGAAAAATAAAACGCCGGGTGAAAAATAGGATGTGTAAAACTAAAGCCATCCCAATAGGAAACTGATCAAATATCACAATGGGGACATCACAACAGAATCTGTGTACAAGTAAATGTTGCCAATTGTTCTTCTGTCACAGTCATTTCCAATAACTGAACATTTGGAGGGAGCATTAACAGAATAGACTGTCTATGAGTTTTAAGTTGAGGTCCATGGTCTGCGCTGGTATAGCTGATGTAACCCAGGTGGTATTATGAGCGTTTACAAGTGGTCTCATGATCCCAAACGAGGGAGAGAAAATTAGCCAGGACATTCCAATGATACCCACCAAAGGTGAATGTGTGGACACTGGGTGAGGACAAGATCCAGCACGAAAGGCATATCAACACTCATTGTCAAAGCTCACACAGATAATAATGAGAACTGTCTGGATTTTTCAAACAATATCCAAGTTTAAAGGGAGAATCAATCATTTGGTGGAGGGGTTTCTTATACTGTGTTGTGTTATGGTACGTTCCCTACTGTACAAAAATGTTCTTTCTTAAGGTAGGGGGGGCTTTGCTCAATTTTGATGCTAAATACTCACCTCAACAAGCATGCTGAGTAAAGCTTTCTTGTTCTCATTCCAAAGTGCAGGGAGATCTTTTGATGGTGGGAAATTACAGCAGCTCGTGTAAACTGTGATCTCAGGACAGTGGCCATAAGTGACACTGAAATCCTACAACAAAAGAGATCAGAAAATGAAAATTCTTCTAACAGCTGATATAATGGCATTCCAAACAAAACTCCGATCAATGTAAAACAAAATCCTGCAAACCAAATACATGAGTGATAGGAGCCAAGAAAACACACATTCCTATTTCTTGGCAAGAAACAGACCTGCGACTATGAGCCAAGGTAAAGAAAAACCCTAAAAATAACTAAAAACTAAGCTTTATCCAATACCTATTTTCTTTTGGTTATTGTTTCAGTTTTTTTAATGAATTTTCACCTAGCCACATCAGGAGCCATCTCTTTACTGCACTATATCATGGCATTCTTCAAAAAGAGAAGGAAGTTTCTCCCAGTGTCCGGGCGAACAATCCTCCAAATAAAATTGGTAACTCAATCCATGGCTGTTTGTGGGACATTGGTTTGTGTAATTGGATGCTATGTTTCACCCACAAAATACACAGACAATCTATTTTACAGTATATCTTGTGAAGTATTTGAGATGTCTCAACAACATGAAGATGTTATATCAAATGCAAGGATTATTATTTTCTGGAGCAAAAATTGTGGCAGAAAAAAAAACGTCTTTGCTCTTTCATGTAAACCCTTTAGGCTTATATTTCACAAACTGGAAGCCTGCAGGATTTAATTCAGTTTGAACGAGGGCAGCATAAACAAAAGTTAGCTCAAGATTTGCAGATCCACAAGAGGGCAGTATAAGAATGGAAAAGTTAAAGTTTTCAACAAACAGAGATCTATTGAGTTTTGTATTAAGATACTTATAATATTATATTTCCATTATTTTAGGGTATTACTGCAGTTTAATAGATCTTGTGCCTAATTTTGTGCATAGATGAAAACTGCTTACCTTCATGCTGAACATGTGACCATGCCACTGAGCCCCACGCAGAACACCATGAGGGATATTTTCTTCTGTAATAAATAAAATCAGTCACTGTTGTTGGCAAAACAGTTTTCCACCACTTTATGCAATGCACTCTGCAAGGACCAAATCATTGTAAGCAATTGTCTTCTCCTCTATGGTGGTGTTGCAATACCATCAAGAGAATTACACTGAATGAGAATATACAAATAGCAGCAGCAATGGTGATAAACTACAATGCTGAAAGCTGATTTTTTTTGCCTGTAGCATGTTCCTGTTGTGCTGTGGATTGTGTTGGTGTAGACACTTTGAATATATATCCTTACCTGTGTTATTAGGGCAGCCAGGACGGCCCAAGTGCATTCTTGGGTGGTTGGTAGAATACACAGTTGCCAAATATTTCAATGTTTCCTCATTTTCCACTGTCGAGGGAAAACAGATTGTGCTGAATTAGAGGTCGCACAGCACTGAACATTGGCAGCCCTTTGCGCCTCCCCATGCTCACAGTTTGTGATAGGAAACAGGATGGACAGGATTAATACTTCATGTACCGAGGCACTTAAAGAAGACCCTTCACTGAAGTTGTTTGCAGAATGTACCATTTCATCACTCTAGTGTGACTTTATGCAGCTAAGCACCAAATATTTTCAGAGAAATGCTACGAAGGCATGTCAAGACCGAGCAGACAGATGTTGGAATAACAGTGTCTAAGGTTTGTTTCTAAGAAAAGAAACTGGCTTACTTTTCCACAGTCCTTGAAGCTAATCAGTGTCCACACCAATTCCAAAAATCCAGATTCCAAAATTAGAGTGCTCAGTGACGAAACAAGTCCCCATAATACAATGTGAAATGAACAATGTTTACATATTTACATCCTGGATACATACCAGTTTGCACAGGCTTATCATAAGGGTAAGTAGCCAGGAGAGAGCCACCATCTAAAACAACAGACAGTGTGTAGCCTTGGTTAAGGATCAGGTTTTCAACAATCACTCTAGTCTCAGGTTGCATGGCCGCTAATTGTTCTGTAGAGTTTCCTAGCAAAAGACAAGGGTGTCTGTTAATACCAATATACAATTAAGCTCGTGAAGAAACATACTTAAGCACGCTACTCTTAATTGATATATGAAATGTACAAAGTACCAAAACAAGTGGTGATGTTTTGCCCGGATTTACCACCTTACAATGAAAATAAATAGATCTGATAACTTAAGTGCTAGTTTCACGTCACTTTACATTGACAATGGCTTTTACACACAGAACCCAAAATAAGACGCCCGATATTTGTAGGATGATTTACAATGTGTTCCATTTAGTAACAGATTGACAATCAGCAATTGGAATGATTAGTGCCCAATTCTGAGCGATGACATTTCATATTTTAGCATTGCATAGGATACTATGCATAGCATAAAGTTGTAACAATGACAACAACAAATGACATTTATGTCGCGCTTTTCACATTGGGAGGACGTCACAAAGCGCTGGTCAGGGTTTTTATACCCAGGCAGAGGGTTGGGATCAGGAGGGGTGGAGGGCAGGAAGGGGAGGAGTGGAGGGCAGGAAGCGGAGGGGGTAGGAGGGCGACCGAAGGCGCTGTCAAAGAGGAGCGTCTGTGCCTTGAAGGAATGAGGAAGTATTTCCAGAGATCTTAGATGGTTTATACTAAAAGCTGCATTAAGTAGACAGTTTTTACAATATCCTTCTACTTGTTTCAAATTTGTTACAAAACTACATCCGTGAGATAATTCTGAATGCATTGTACGCTGGGCAGAGGGAAGGCAGGGAGGCTTTCTAAAATCAAATACTGCAGTTGGGAATTCAGTTTTTTAAAAATTGGCCAGTTTTATATACGCATTCTTAAAGTATTATGGTATTAAAGTGGATGCAGGGGTGGGTATCAGCACTGTGAATCCTTTTGAAGTCAGTAGTCGCCTATTAAAATAGAATACCTTTGAAATCCTTGTCCAAATCCTTGCCATGTGCATTTGTTAGTCCAACTTTAGACGTGCACCGTCCTTCTTGTGCAATTTCTCTGCCATCGGGATTGACTGATGGTACAATCACAATCTTCGTCTCATTGATCAACTGTAGAAAGAGTTTCCATGAGTTAATTTTTTCAGATGCAATTCTTCTCTCAAATACTATCAAAATATACAGTCAATTCACTTTACAGAATATTCTGTGAAGCGCTTCGAGACGACTCGCAGATGTGATGAGGGGCTATATCAAATGCAAGGATTATTATCAATAATTGAAAAGGAGTCTCTGAAATTACGCTATGTCTGTTAAACAAAATTCAGAGCATTTCTGCCTCAACTTGGTGGTAATTTAGCACAACATATATTCACTTTGTTACAATCTCATTGCTTCATTTCTGCCCTGTACTCGGCACACAAGAACAAACACATCAATACACTCACCATGTATTATCACAGAGATCTGTTCATAAGTCTGTGATGTGGATACAATGACACAAGATGAGTCTTATGATTAGTCTCTACAATGAACTCTTGTTCTCATGTTCCCTGTGTCAACGACTCAGCTTAGCTTCCATCCAGTCTCCAAAACCCTCACTTTTCACCAAATTATAACATCTTACAAATCTACAGTGCCTTACCTCAAAGGGGCAGCTTTAATGTCAGCTGTGTACAATTAATAAAATGAACTTAACCTGCGTCTGTACACTGCTGATTTCCTTTCAAGGTTATTCTCAATTCTAGGGCTCTGTGAATTTGTGCCCATCACAAAATTGTGCAAGCAATTAGCGGACAGGAGGGAAGGAAGTGCAGCTGATTGACTCAATCTTTCCTTTGTACTAACAAATGCTGCCAATTACTTTCAAAAGGATACATTTTCAAAATCTTATCTATCGTGTAGGCCTGGGCAAGCTATTGTGATAGAAGACACTAATACAACGCATATGTTATGAAATGCAGCACGCAGAGCAACATGTTGAGTAGTTATTCATAGCTTTGAATCACAGCTATATCACAGCTTTGAAAAATGTCAAAGTTTTCTTCGAAAAATAAAAGAGCACTTCCTTAACATAAAAAAAATCTTCCCTGGAGCATCCCAGTACGCACAGTATTTATCAGGCAGACTGTTTAAGAGCTGTTTAACTTAAACAAATGCCATTGAGCCTGGGATAGAGATTTTAGAGAATGCTGATTCAGCAACCCAGTGCCTAATATATCATACAAGAGAAGCTAACTTCCTTGAGCCATCAATTTTAATTGCATTTCCCATACCATAATTGTGCTTTGTTTAACTTTAAATGATATAATTGAATGAGGGTTTTCACTTCTGTTAACGTATTCCACATCCTATGTGGTAAAAATGATCATCCAAGCTCCTAAACATGCTTGCTTTCCACTTGCCTGCTTTGGACAACAAGTCCTGATCTTTCATCTTAAGCCCTCAAAGATTGAGCACTCGAGAATCCTTCAGAAGATGAATTTTACTATTCCCAACTACAAAGTTCCTTTCCTGCAAAGAAGCTCGTTCCCAGCAAATCAACTAAAAATAACCGACACCTTCAAGGATGTGGACACACCCCCGATTGGGAACAATGGGGGTGTGAAGCTGGCGGAACCAGCCACTTTTTGAATCATCCTGCTATAATTCAAGTTAATGAAGAGTAAGCAGTAATGTGGTTTAATAAATAACAACACTTCTATATGTGGATATGGGACACAGCAGATCATTTTAGGAAAGTTACATGTTTTTCATATCAAAAACAGATAGAAGAAGCAAAAGGCAGACATGATTATATTAGCATATGAAATGTCAGCTCTCTGAGATGTGATCCTACATAAAGAGTGTTATATCAATACAAGTTGTTACCTTAGTAATGGCGTTATTTTTCTCATACAAAATGCAAAGGAACTCTGCAAATGCAAGCAGTAGCTCGGAACCAGCAGGAGCGTTGCCGTGAACTCCAGCAATAAACTTAATCTTTGGTTCTGCCAGCTCAACCTCCTTGGGTTTGTTTGAGATTTCCAGGGCCCAAATCTGCCGATATTCTGCACTCTGCCCCAGTCTGTATTAAAATGAATAGCAAACAAAATCAAAATAATCCCTGAAATGTATTCGGGAACATGCAATCGAAAACAAGAGCGCTTGGACATTGCCAGGTGAACAAAAGCATATGGCCAATAATATCACCAGATATTATTCCAAAATTATATATTTTTTAACCATATATAAACAATTAAAAATAATAAGAAAGAAACCACCTAATGTATAAATTTAAATAGGTCAAATAAACAGCACGGCATAACTATAAATGAAAAGCTCCAACAGGTTTATTACAATAGTACAGTATTGGGACACATACACAGATTCAATAGACATTAAGCAGATGTCATTAGTTTCCAGCAGAGGCAGCTGCCTCGGGCGTCTCTTACGTAAGGTACTTTGCATAAGAGTGGTCCAAGGTACCACTGTGGGCCTGCTCTTTCAGCCACGGTTGGTGCACGGAGCAGGAGCTCAGAAAGATAACACACAGCAAAAATAATTCTCACCGCCTCAATTTTGTAATCCCTGGGTAGTTGTTGTGCAAGCCTCGTAGAACTTCCGAGAGGTCTTTGTAGTCATGGTAGCGATACAGATTGAGGTTGATGGGTGAAGATAAAATCAAGTTGTTCAATCCTTCCTTAGAGGACAGATTCTTTACCAGTTTGTTAAACTCCTCCTCCGACCCTGCTGAGGAGTTGATGGACACTTCGACGTGACTGTTGATTTTGTAATCCGTAACACGTGAAAGAGTGAAATTGACTTCTACAGCTTGTCTATCCTTTACAGTCACATTCTTTGTCATTGGGAGGTACCTGCAATAAATTGATGACAGATGTAAAAATACTGTAGTCAGAAAAATGCTGCTTCATTTGATTTTTTTTCCCCCACTAGAATTAAAATAATTTCATTCCAGACTGAGAAAAGATTATTTCCACTTCCCTCAAAACTGAAGCAGCCAATTTGGTTTTGATTAGCGGCTTTTCATGTGTTAGTAGAAACAATTGCCATAGAACACTAATTATTGCTATGCTAAAGATATCCAGAAATTACAAACAGATACCCATGAGGTATCCCATTTCCGCTAGAATCGTTCTTTCAGACAAATAGCAGTAATCCCTCTACAGGTAGACATTTAGTCAGTTAGAACAAGCACATTTCCTTTGACAGTACTACAGAAACCATCTGCTTCTCCTGTCCCGATATGGACTATAAACAGCATTCTAGCGATGAAAGAGCAATAAAGATTTATAGAATAGTTTGATAGTTTTCAGACGTCCAAGATTAACTTCCAGTAATTGAGATAAAAGCTGACACTTGTTGCTGTGGCATGGTGTTGGTTTTACACAAAACCTATGTTCTCACCCGCGAGCTGAAGCTGTGATTTTGTAGACACCAGGGACGAGTAGACGCCAATAATCTCCGTCCTTTGCTGACTTGATCGGGTGGTTCACATCAGCCACAGTGATGGTGGCATTGAAAATCCCCTTTCTGTTTGAGCCATCAAGTACAAATCCTTTCACACCTTTGTGGACCTAGCATCACAATTTAAAAATATCCATTAGTTCAATCTCAACCTAATCCTGGCTAATAACTGAAACAGAAATAGCCATCAGCACAGACTCCAAGTAACCTTGGGAGTGCCTTGGGATGTCCTCCTGACGTGAAAGGGGCTATACAAATGAAATCTTGTCATTGTAACCTATAGCTATGATGCAAAGCATTCTGTAATAGGGGAACATATGTAGCTTGGGTAGCATCGTAGCATATTATCAATAACCTAGTCCACCAAAAGTTTGCAATTTTTGAAGCTCCCCCCCATCCCAAATTCCAGACAATGATTTACTACTGTATTCAAAACAATTTTGTCAAAAAATACCTAGATTATCGAAACAGATAAGCAGTTCCTTCTGCAGTCAGGCTGCTTGTTAAAGCTTAGCAGCTACTGCGATCCAGAGATAGATATGGTATACGTCGTAGGGCGTATTAAACAGCACCTTTTCAATGCCATGGATTATACTGCCTGCAGACAGGTGCTTTAGTGCTCTCTGAAACTTAAGAGTTCACTGAGCATGAATTGTACTGCTTTGTGCTGCTACCTGTGCAGTGTTTTTAGGAGTTTCAGGGGAAATTGGAGCAGCTGGCTTGCTATTATGACCTAGTTATGTACTACCAACCACATCGTCACCAGCCCAAAGACCAGGAGAGGATGTTCAAAGTCTATCACTTGATGGTGGCTTTAATTTACATTATGTATTCACATAATTACTCAATGCATATGTACACCCCCATCTGTTTATATCACAGAGATATTTTAACTTGTTTTTTGTGGACAGTTACTGTTCAGATATTCCAGAGTGAATCAATCTAGTAGGACAATACTGTGGTGCCAAGTGTCTTCCACAAAAAAATTGTACATGGCATTAATAAAATAATGATCTAGTTGTGCCAGAGAAGCACACATATTCCCATTAGAATATTCCAATATTCCTATGTTGAGTAAAAAGTTCCAGTGTGAAGGGCGCCATATCAATGCAAGTTATTGCTTTAAAAAAAAGTCTTGGTGTTTCTGTTCAGTTTTTTTTGTAAAAGCTTTGACAGTGGCAGCTACAATAATTCTCGTCCTACATATGGATACATAGATACACAGTCAAATAGGGGACTACATTAGAGTCCTGTCTTAACATCAACTCTGTGTGGATATTAGGATTAAACAGTTGCTACAGAGTACTTTATGCTAGACTTGATCTACCTGTTTCATAAACTGGAGGAGGGACCTTTTATTTTGCTTCCAATATTTTGGTAGATCCTCAGCAAGGGGGAACTTAAAACAGCCCAGTTCAATGGTGACTTCAAAACAGTTTGTGTGAAGGTAACTCCAGTCCTGCATGCCACCTGAAAAAAAAACAAATGACATTATTTGTATGAAAGAGCTTCGGAGCTTCAGAATTTAAAAAAAGTGACAGGAAAGGATTGACACTAATCTGTGACAAACGCATGCACGAGTGTTTCAGCTGCATTTGGGGTAAAGTACGATCAGAGGCGAGCAATGTGGCGGAGGTGGAAGAAGCAGGTCCTGGTCAGTGACCGGATGTGGGGGAGGAAGGACAACTGGGAGTCGAACTGGACGCCTAGACTGCGCACTGGTTTGGTGAGTCTGAGGAAGAGCCCAGGGAGGTTGAGAAGTTTAGATCCACAGCAGTGAAGACATTGATGGAATCCAAGGAATATGGCTCTTAATTAACAGATGAATGATGAAAACTTTATTTTTTTCTCATTTTCATCAAGTTTCTCTTGATAAAGAGATTTTTAAAAAAATGATTTTAATTCAGTTACAAAGATGATTGGGCCAGACCCAGCTGTCACTTCCTGTGTGCTATGCACAGAAAAGCATAACATGCAGGAACCAATGTCTGAGGCAATCTGATGCACTGAGTCAGATTCCAAAACAATGTAAAAATTGAAGAATATCAATGTTCACTGCTTTTTTTTAATCCATTTTCACCATCTGTGTATTTACCGTACAACAATGACTTCCATTGTTCAGTTTCTCTTACCTGGTACAGTGTACCATTGTGCACCATTTGTGATTCCTTGACTAAAATATTCATTGGGATACATATCTGTACATGGGTGGCCTCCATACATTTGCTTATTTTCCTAAAGAACAGAATCCAGAACATAATTAGTATTAAAGTAAGTTGGGGCTCAGAGACTGTCAACCAAAGTACTAGATCTTGCTTAACGACAACTCATTCATCTGGTGAAACAAATATTCACAAAATAAACCAGCAAGAAGAGGAAATGCATGAAATAAATCATTCATTCACACCCAAACAAAGACTAATTCAGTACATCATGTGTTCAGGACATTCCTGTGTTCTTAAAAGGCACCAATGTAGGCCTCTACATATTCTGAAGAAGCAAGATACTAAGGTGGGCGAACATTAAGGGAAATATGGTTAAATACTGTTTTCTGCAGTTACTATATTGTGAAATTCTTGCATTGGAATGCAATAAATTATTGCAATTTGCATTATACAGAAAGAAGCGATCCTTTATCATAAAGAAGCTACATGTTATAATGGAGGTTCCCATACTGTGTGAAAGTTTATTGCGAAAGACAGATAAAACAATTTTGACAGTTAAAATGCAGTCAGATTTCCCAACATCATATACTCATCACAAAGTGCTCTTTTAAGAGCCAGCCAAAACATACGTCTCAACAAGACCGGCATTATTAACAAGATCTGTTGACTTTAATGCAGGAAGATTAAAAACAACTTTATGCCTTCACATCCTTTCGTCTAACAGTGTCTGGCTGCGTTTTAATAGAAGTGGATTTGGGAGTGGTGGAACAGTGCTTTTATGATCTAAACAGAGTTCCTTTGATGAAATCCTGAATAAAATCTTACAATGTCCACATTTGCCAATCATATTTCATTTTGATAAACTGGGCTAATAAAAGGGGTTCTAAAACACTGGGTTAAATTATAAATGTAGTTCTGTTCAGCATTTAAAACGTTGTAGTTTCCTCTCCCCCCCCAACCCCTCTGGTGAATATCATGAAAACTAGAGAACACATTATGAAATATTTTGCAAATTTATAATCTATGCACTTCAACAGAAAAGTAATGTAAAGGGTTATGGTTCTATTTCTGTGAATTAACTGGGACAATGGCATTTCTTGTAAATTTGGTTAGCAATGATAGGTAAAATTTATCTAAATTTCACCTATATATAGTCACTGCACTTTTGGTATATCCTGTGAAGTGCTTTGTTCTAATAAAACCTCTGGATCTATTCCAGCAGAAAGACACATCTACATAATGAAATGTGGCCTCACATGTCAACCATTTATGATGTTACTCAGGAGACTGAGATTAACACAATTCTGAATGTCAGTGTGGTGACCCAAATATGCATATATTAAACCATAAATAACAAACTAATAAACGATTAGCTACTGTGAGTAAAGGACAGAAAATGTGTCAAAACTAGGTCAAGTTAGAGAGATGGCATTGAGCAAAATATAGTGAGAAATGCTCAGAAGTCTTATGAAAGCAGTCATTAATATGAGGGATTTTCAATACTAAACTGAGTGAAACTTTAGTCAAAAGATATCAGGAATGTGCTGTGTGGAGAAAATCTCACATTTTATAAGTCTATGTTGGAGAACCTGTCTCAAGCAAACAACATTTAAAATTCAATCAGTTAAAATGATAGCCTTCAATTTCACAAACTTTAAGTTCTTTGTTCTGGGTGGAGGAGGGAACAACTGCTCAAACACTAGCTCTGGTCAGTTTCTTTCTTTGAAGTGACTAGGTTCAGAAATATTTGTGAAACCTGTCTTTTGACTTTATCACTTCACCTGTTAACTTAAACACTGAAAAAGCTGTGGCTATAATCTTAGGCGAAAGCAAATATTTGAGGGAACTGTTTTAATTATATATGAAAACTTCGGCTATTCCCCTTTGTGAAATCAAGGCGATAGTTAATAAAATAGTATAGCTGCAGCTCCATTCAGCAAAGTATGGGCAATACATCTGAAAACAGTTGCAGTATGGTTAATGTGATTGTAGAGGTCTCCGTATGTCAATGAATTTCATGGATACAGTATAAAGGCTTAGTCTAAAAAAAATGAAGTACCTTTGAGAACGAAATTGCCAGCTGTCTGAAGATGGCATCATCCGGACACTTACTGTACAGTGTAATACCCTCTGCATCATCATAGGGGTAATTCACAACCAGCGAACCTGTTCAATGTAAAAGTACGTTAGTGTTTTATTCATGGTTCTGTCAGCAAAGTGGAAGCAACACAGATAGCGACTTAATGAAACAGAAGTTGCGCATTTTGGCTCGGCAAAACTTAAACTTAGTGCATCTGGTTATAAAGGAATTTGTGCTACAGTAAAATCTGTTATAGCAGGACTGCATTGCATGTAGTATATCTAAGGATTATAAAATAAATTATACGGGTTTCCCAATAGTAAACTGTCGGTGTGATATTATTCTCTTCATCGTTTGCAATACATAGCAGTTGTGCAAAATGTTTTAACACTTCTGTTTATACAATTACTCCTTCAACAAAGGAAAAAGCCCTTTTCATCATTCTCGGCGAGCCAGAAATGCTAAGAAGTACCTACCGCCATGTAAGTTGGCAGACAATACAAAAGGATTCTCATTCATCCAGTTCATCACGGCTATGGTTTCTGGCTGTCGTGGATCAGTGATATTAACAAACTGGTCAGGAAAGTTGCGATTGAGATCAAAGTTGTTGCTGTTGTTTCTACCTATCACACTGGACTTATCCCCTGTGAGCGAAAGAAATCCTTTCAAAATCAGAGGCATTTAATTGATATACTTTAGTACTGCTAATGGAAAACAAGGCACTGAGGGAATACTTTGTGTTGGAAAAACATTCAGTTCTGTCAACACAATGGAATGAGATGAAGGTCCAACTCATTTTCTATTGGGTTGGCATGTTGACAATAAAATTCATAAGAGAAATTTGATCAAGCAAAAAAATATTGTCAACTGAAACCAAACTGCAGTTACTCACTCTCAACTGTATCCTTGATGCCAGGTTCAGAGTGGCACTGACCAAAAATAGTTGGAGAATTCAAAGGGAGACGTATATAAATTCTCTTTATATAAAAAAGAGTGAAGGAATCCTATTAAGCGAGCATATCAAATTTGGTGGAAATTAAGTTGCCAAAGCATCATCACATGGTAATTTTTGGTGTGCGATTAAATAACAATTGGGGTGGTGGGGGGAGTTGCTAAGTAAATAAAATATTCCTGAAAAATGACCAATATGGGTCATTATCAAGTTTCAAATTTATACATTACCTTCTGTTGATATTTCATATCCATCAGGATTCATGGAAGGCATGATATGGATTCTGGTATTATTCACTAAAGTGGTGGCTTCGAGATCAGTTCCGTAATTTTTGCAGAGGTACTCGATAAGATTTAGTAGGAGCTCGCGCCCCAACACCTCATTCCCATGCATATTTCCAATGTATTTGAATTCAGGTTCACCTAAAAACATATATAAATTAATCCATGCAAAATAATATGCCACAACTCACTAGCAATGCAGCTTCAAGAGAACCTCAAGAGGTTTCTGCCAGAGTCTGGTTTTAAATGTTTAAGAACACAACAGGGCAAGGTCAGGAATTGGGATGGGGAATTCTGTAGTATTGATTTTGAGCCCTGCAGTCAAGATGCATTTCAATTTAAGTCTAGTATACTTTCCCAACCGTACCCAATTCATGAATGCCGGGCTTGTCAGATATTTCCATGACATATAACTCCCGTTTCTCCACAGATTTCCCAACTGAATACAGGCGTGTGATTTCTCGATATTCTGTTGAATATTTCCTCAGGAAGATCGCCATGTCGGCATAGTTGTGGTGCCTGGAAGTCTCTGGCTCTTTGGGTATTGGTTGCAACTTGTCTTTTGTTGTCGGTGTTTCTATCCCAAACATGGTGGAGGTGGCCACGGTGATTGTAGTCTCAACAGGGTGATTTCCTGCAGTCACCATGGGCTGAAGTGTAAAATTAACTTGCGTGGCTGGGCCTTCACGGACTTCAACATTGATAGTGGCAGGTATGTAGCTGCAAAGATATAAGCAGCAGTCGGAATTTGCAATTGCTCATAAATGTTCTTGTGTGAAATTTAAACCACAAAAAATTCAAAAATTTGGGGTTCACAAAGCACGATGCCAAGAGCAACAACAACAAGATTCTATTTATAGAGCGCCTTTCACGTCGGGAGGACGTCCCAAGGCGCTGGACAGTTGGGTCAGGACCCGAGCAGGGGGGAAATGGTCAAGGGGATGGAAGGAGCGAGGAGGGGGTAGAGAGTCGAGAGGGGAGCTGAAGGCACGGTCAAAGAGAAAGGTCTTGAGACCGGCCTTGAAGGAGGAAAGGGAGGAAGTGGCGAAGGCACTGGGGGATAGAGTTCCAGAGCCTAGGGGCTGAGAGGCTGAAGGCCCGGCCACCGATGGTAGGGCGGTTGGGGCGGGGGATGTGGAGCCAACCGGAGCCAGAGGAACAGAGGGTACGGGCAGGTAGGTAGGGGGATAGTAGGTCAGAGAGGTAGGACGGAGCGAGGCCATAAATGGCCTTGTAGGTGAGGATGAGGATCTTGAATTCGATCCTCTGGGGGATGGGGAGCCAGTGGAGGCGAGCGAGGGTGGGAGTGATGTGGTCCCGAAGCCTGGTGCGGGACAGTACACGAGCTGCAGAGTTCTGAATGATCTGCAGCTTGTGGAGGGAAGTGCCAGGAAGGCCGGCGAGGAGAGAGTTCCCATAGTCCGGCCTTGAGGTGATAAAGGCGTGGACCAGAGTTTCAGCAGCGTGAGGGGTGATGTAGTGCCGTAGTCTGGCGATATTCCAGAGGTGATGGAAGGCGGTGCCAGTTGTGGCGCGGATATGAGGGAGAAAGGACAGCTCAGGGTCGAACAGAACGCCGAGGTTCCTGACCGGCTTTGAGAGGTGGAGAGTGCAGCCTTGGATGCTGATGCTGTCAGCGCCTGAGGTGCGGAGGTGCTGACGTGAGCCAATCAGGAGGACCTCAGTTTACGCATGTTGAGCTGAAGAAAGTTGTCTCTCGTCCAGGACTCGATGTCAGACAGGTAGGCTATCAGGACATCGGGGGTCGTGGAGTTGAGGGTAGAGGAGGAAAGGTAGAGTTGGGTGTCATCCGCATACATGTGGAAGTTAATCCCATGTCTGTGGATGATGTCACCAAGGGGGAGCATATAGAGGGTGAAGAGGAGGGGACTGAGGACAGAGCTCTGAGGGACACCGCACGAGACAGTGCACGAGGCATCTGATCATACTATTGGGAATGTAACAATATGAAACGTGCTCAGTTCAAAGTCCTCAACAGCTTTGAACAAATTTCAGAGGGCAGCTAGCCCTCATTTATAGTGCAGGACAACTTCAAATTAATTATCAACTCTGTTTCACTTGAACACTTGTGTTCTTATGCCTTTTGGATGCATTGCTCAGATCAACAAAAGACAAAACATGGTAACCGGTCAAATCATACAGCACTGACACTGACATGTAACTACACATAAGCTAGGTTAATTTCAGTGCTGTGATTGCTGTTAAAACCAGGGTTCATTATCTTGATACTTACTCATTGATACAGGCATCCAAGAGGACATTAAAAATTTACCATCACATATTCCTGTGCTGAGTAGGGGATCAAATAAAGTCCAATGGCATCAGCTATCAAGGCTGAACTCAACTGAGACAGAATCCGAATAGGATTAGGCTTAGCTGACTGACTTGGGCAGCAGTTTTCACTGCCTTTGAATTAAGTCTAGTAGAGTACAGTACCTTTTTCAATAGAGAGAGATGACCATTTGTTCTGTATTCAAGTCTCTTACTTACCCTGGTGCATCAGCAGATATGTTGTAGACCCCTGGTACAAGCAATCTATGAAAGTCGCCGAAGTCACCCGTTGTAATATTGTGATCAATGCCATCAACTGCGATGACTGCATTAGAAATTCCTTGGCCAAGCTGACCATTGTTGACAAATCCTGCAATGCCAATATGAACCTGGGTAGACAAAGCAAGGGTTATTTTCCCAGTGTAAACACACTTTCCAACCAATTTAAGAAATTTTACACTTGAAGGCATGAATGGTATGCAGAGAGGAATAAACAAACATACAGACACAATTTAGCATTAGTTAGGAACACAGCACCATTATACTAAAAAGTTAACAATTTTGCTACAACCATAAGAGCAAGTCATCCACTTGATTTTAATTCACAGGTACCTTTTCAAGCAGGGTTAGAAGGGATTCACGGTTATTCTTCCATTCCTCAGCAAGAGTGTTGGCGGGTGGGTATTTACAACAAGTAAGTTCAAGTGTGATCTCAAAGCAGTTTCCCTGCAAATAATTGTAGTCTTGCATTCCTCCTGAAAAAAATAAATCTAATGTTATTCAACAGACAGCCATAACAAAACCCCGCAATTTACAAAATTCAGCGTTCTGTTTGTACAAACTAATATACTTTTTTTTAAGTTCTCCAAGTATGAGCCATCACATTCACTAGTTTTTATAGAACACTGTAGAGAAGTACATGCTGATAGGCATCAGGTAAACGAAAGCCAAGTTTTCACATGTGAACTTTTGTAAACCTTTTCTGGATGTTTAGACAAAAATGAGGATTTAAATCAAGACTTTCAAAAAAATAACTGCACACTTGTTTCTCTGGAAAACTCACCTCACAAATGTAAATGGATGGGTTCTACAGAAAATATAGTCTCAGGTTCAATTTCAGAACCACTTCTTGAAATGGCTCTGCAATGTGAAATGGCTATTAACAACCTTCTTACTACTCTACTCAATCAACCAAAGGCAAAACGGTAACTAGCCGAATGAGAAACAGCAATGTCGCTGAAATGTATCAACCCTGAACTCACTGGAGACGCACAATGAATAAGATTAGGCTGAACTGATTTAGGCAGTAGACATCTGACAGTCTTCTTTGCGTTTAAATGTCTAGCATTGTATCGTTTTCTATATTGTAGGAGAGATGATATACTGCTTTGGTATTCACACACCAACAACATTCAGCTCACATTATCTTGCATGAGCTTTTGTAACATAATTCCTGCAGCTGAAATGTTTGGGTATCCATTTGGAATGAAGAATCACTGTATGCAGCAACCTAAACTTTTAATCAAACCAACTGTCCATAAAATATTCTAAGTCTGGAAACAACAGAGCTAATGTACCATTGAAACATTTCAAAACTGCATGCTACAGCAGTCGGGTTAATCATTTACACTGCCGCTTATTTCCTGCGACAGAAAAAAAGCAAAACTGAAGAAGTCAATTGTTTAAAATATGGCTAAACACCAAGTCCTAAAGCACCTGTAAAGACAGTTCATTGGCATGCACCACAAAATACCGGGAAATAATTAACTTTACACGGGAATGGAACAGATGAATGTCATACGGTAGCAATGAACCTACCCCACAAGAGAAACTAGATCCAGCTTGCAATTTTGAAACAGCGCTATATAAATCTTACAATTACGAGTTTAAAATTGTCCCATGTTTGCAGGTCGTATACAAGTACTGTATAAGTAATTGTATCTGGCCACTGAACCCTAACTGAACAGAATAAAAAGGAATAACATGTTCTGCCTTGACAGGAATAAAATAGAGCTCAGAGCAAAGACTCTTCGTAAGGTACATTCGTGCTTAGCTATAAAACATTGAGTTAACTGCTTTTAACATTTTCTTCTTTGTCAAACCCAAATTCGTTCCTTGCAAACAAATTTATTCAGAGTCTAGATGTGGGGCCCATAGCAAAGTGCTTCACTGGAGGGTTCTGTGAAGAATGAAAATCGATTTAAATTTATAGCTATTTTGGGTTAACATTAAAGAATTGTTAACAATTCCAATTTAACAATAAAGAATGAATATTCTGAATAATGATGTGAATCAAGAGAAACAATGAATGTAAAATGCTGTGCAGACACAACACTGCTTTTGACAAAAGACCAGTACAATGATAATGGTCAGGAAGAACAATGATCTCAGTTGGTGACAAAACTCTGATAAGTTGCCTCGAAACAAGTCTAAGCAGGCACAGTCTAAGAGTGAAAAGAATCAGGCCATTATTTTTTCAGAGATGCGCCAGCACTGTAACTAAATCCTCAGGAAGGGTGGAATCCCGTCTTGTAATGAGATGCACACTAACTGCAGGGATCTCAGAATGAATTACCATGTGTAAAAAGATAATGTAATAATTGAAGTGCAGCAGCTTTAGACCTGGAGTGTTGTAAGGAAAACCTTAAATGAAATTAGATGGAGTGTTCCATATTGTGCTTTTCTCCCGTTCCATTGCAAGGAATGATGAACACGTTCAGAATCTGTCCTCTGTCTCGGTCAACTACATTGGTAACACTTCTGCAGCATTGTTCAAGAATGCAACTTCTAGCAGCAGGAGAAAGAATAATTGGAACAAATATGCAGAATACGAGATCAGGGTCATCAATATCTTTTGGAAATTGCTGCAGTATTAATAAATAATAATATTAGTCCTTGCATTTGATGAAGCGCTTTACCACATCAACGAGAAATCTCAAAGCGCTTCACAGGATACGATTGTAATTTTGTGAGTGAAACTCTGGAGCTAATTTCCGCTCAACAATGTCCCACAAGCAGCCATGGAATGAGTGACCAATTTGTATTCGGGGTATTGACTGGCCAGGACCCTGGGAAACACTCCTTTCTCCTAAGCATGTACTGTCCAGCGCCTTGGGACGTCCACCCAACGTGAAAGGCGCTGTAGAAATGTAATCTACAGTTGTTATTGTTAGGAGTTGCTTTTAACAAGAGGTGCGCTTCTGGTATTCTTCCAGCATCGGGGCGGACCAGCCAGCCTCCTGCATTAAAAAAACAGCTGTGCAAGAGCCATATAAGAAGTAGATGTATAGCAAGGGTGGATTTTGAAATGGACCACAAATCACTTTGCAGTGTATCCTATGAAGCGCTTTGGGATGTTCTTCCAACATAAAGGCACTGTACCAAATGTAAGGATTATTATGATGAAAATATTTCAAGACTCCAGGAGTCACATTTTTAAATCTAGCATCTGGAATTCCAGTAATGTTCTTGCTGTCTGTTAATCTACAATCAAATCTATTGTATGAAATTTGGATACGAGTAAAAATTGTTACCAAGTCCCAACCTTTGGAACAGTAAGAGACAATATCATTAGATGCGTCATCTTTATGGTTAAACTACATGCAAAAAACAAAATTTCACTGCTATTAGTAACCAAGCTAATCTTCAGAGAACGAGTAAGCAAATCCACAAACTGCAAGCACAGGATTAATTTGCAAGCAAATCTTGACATTAAAACATTAGTGCTTTTCAAACAGTCATTACATGTTAGAGTAAAATCTAACATGTAGTGACTATTTGAAAAGCACTAATACTTTAAGATTACCTTCCCTAGTGTCTTGGATGTATGGTGCAGCCTCCAAAATGTATAGTTAGTGCTACACTAATTAACTTTAGAAAGAGCTGGAAGAATATCTGGTCAGACGGCTAGCAACTGTGGGTAATTGCACTTCCCTCATCACTGTCTCAGATGGGATCAGCTAACAACAGACACCGAGGAGATTAGAGAGACGAGAATAAGGGAGTATGAGAGGAGGAAGCGGGTGGGGGGATTTCTGGAGGTGGAGGCTGATATAGAGCGTAGGACTACCAAAGGTAAATTATGCTGAATCTTCCGTTTTTTGGCAGTAGATTCTATGTAATTATATGAAAGCAGAAAGTTATAAGTTACAAGCATACACAAAGTACACACACCCAAAGTCGAGACAGTGACAAGAGGGAAATTTTGTCCCAAAACTATCAAACCTCACTGACGCCACTGACTGACATCAATAAAAATTAAGCTAATACTGTGGAAACATTTTGCAATTCATGAGATCAGTGTAGCTTTGGATTTTTTTGGTGGGGAGGGAGTGAGTGTCTGTGTGTTGGGGGGGGGGGGATTACTGAATTACTCATCTGTCTAAACATGGTCAGGAGGTTTACACCTTATGAGCAAACATCTTTTGAAATTACTTTCAGGGAGGGACTAGCAATCCGGTCCAAACATCCTGTACAGTGTGGACATGCTGTGTTAATGTATGGAACGCCTACTGGATTTTGTATAAATGTTAAAAGGGGCAGATGGCATCTATAACAATTTTTTTTACAGAATTGGAACATTATAGGTGGATTACCTTACTGCACATGAGTAAAACGTGTTCATTAGGCCCAACCTTCAAAGCCTGCATCTGCATTGTTCTCAAATAGCAGCCACAAGCCCAGAACACAGCTTAAAGTCAATAAGGTGCTCATAAACGTAACCCACTCAACAGCAAAAACGTGGCTCATCCTGACCAATGTACAATAGATGTACAGCAGCAGATTTCTCGTCTACAAATATTGCAGTTCTCATCTATCTGGTTTCTACAACTTGCAAATTCTGTATTGATTTTGAGACAGGACTTGAGGATCGTATCAGTGTACCTTGAAGTCTACTCAAATCCATGCAACTCACAGCAACTTTTCAAAAGCAAATTTTACAGATCAAAGTTGTTCTTACTGGTAATGTACATAACAGGACAGCATGATGGTGCTATCCCAGCCTCCCTCTCCACTGCTACTCGTGGCTGCTCAGAGCACAGGCCTTAAAGTAGATCACTGGACCTTTTAGCCACAGGGGCATCAGAGAACACAATGAAGATTCAAGACAGAAAAGGAGAATGAGGGGGGGTTGTTATTGTATTTTGACAGCGGTAGGAATTTTCCAGTGAGGTCACAGGAAAATACCCAGTATTTTGATGGAGGGAAAGAGGAACAGGAAAGATAAAACAAAGCAAAAGGGGACATATTTCAAATACACCAGCGATAATTTTTAAAAATTGCAGGGCAAGAACAAATGTTGTAATGAGAGAGACCAGAACAATTTGATGTTAGTTATACAAACTGCAGTTACATTAAATACTCGATGGTTATATCTCTGTGTAAAGTCTTACTTAAGGAAGCTGCCCATTGCCAACTCTGCAAAAAACTGTTTTGGTGAAAACTAGAGAAAATCATCATTGATGTCAGGGAGCTCTTAATACATACCTCAAGAGTATTCTAAAAATAGTAACTGCCATTTTATGCTTGATATTTTATGAGGAATCAGATATCTGATTGTTTTCCAATCAGAAGGAATTACTGATAAATTGTCTTAGAAGAGTTAGTTTATGCTCCTAACTCCAATCTGGTTATAATAATATTTGCAATCTTTGCAAATTTCTCTAGCCACTAGCTAAGGATCTGTGGGATTCCAATTTTGCTCAAGTGCCTGTTAAAATGAATGGAAAAAGCCAGGGTATTTTGGGCATCCAAT